TCGAAATGACTTAAAAAATGGACTGGATTTTTTTACTATTTTTTCTCATTTTCAGCTGTTTTTGCCATAATGTCGAGTCACCGCTTTCGATGCGCCAACAATGGATCGATCTAATATTTTTATCTATGAAAGAGCTCATCGAGCTCTATCGACTAAGATATTTTTCCTTTTTGGCCCATGAAAAAAAAATTTTCTGAAAATTACCCAGAAACCTGACCAGAGGATCAATATAATTCAACACTAATCATCGCGCTATATTGACGCTTCTAGGGAATTTCGAGAAAATTTTTTTTTCATGGGCCAAAAAGGAAAAATATCCTAGTCGATAGAGTTCGATGAGCTCTTTCATACATAAAAATATTAGATCGATCCATTGTTGGCGCATCGAGAGCGGTGACTCGACATTCTGGCAAAAACAGCTGAAAATGAGAAAAAATAGTAAAAAAATCCAGTCCATTTTTTAAGTCATTTCGATATCAAAACTTGTCGGATAGAGCTGAAAATTTTAAGATATACATAACTCGATATCCTCTATAACATATCAAAGAATCAGCGGATTCTGGAATGTCGCTCCATCGTCGATGTCTGATAGTGACTGATTTTCTCAGAGAATCACTCTTAAGAATTGAAAAACTAGCTCTAATAGAGAAAGACATAATCATTTCTCAGGCATTTAATGTTTCAATCCACTATATATGTACTAGCTAAGATTTTTATTGTTTTTTTTAACTAGGGAATTTGGAAAGATGCTATTCAAATTAAACTGAAACGAAAACGTTTTGAAAATCGAGATAATGAAGAAGTAAAAGCTTATCAGTCGAAGTATTCAAGATTTGGATCTGGGCGGCCAGTGAAAAAAATGATTGGTGAAGTTGCTGAACGAGATCGACAAAAACAAGTAAATCTTTATCACATATATTTCGGCTTTTGATTGATTTTTTTTTCAGATAATGTTGGTATCTTACGATGATGATACATTAACTGTTATTCAAAATAAAGCCAAAAAGTTACGTGATGATCCTCAACTTGATCTTAATATTCGACTTCAATTATGGAAAGAAACTCTGCATGTTAGACGTAAAGCTGTTCGTAATCAAACAACGTCAGAAATTCTTGAAGAATTTCCTGGATATAAAGACCCAGTGTTGGTGAGTTTATTTGTAACTTCTTTCATTTACATTTAATAAATTTATTTCTGCAATAGATTTTTGAAGAAGTAAAGATGATGATAGGTGCTGATTTACGTGCTGTCGTACGTCGTCAAATACCGATTTTACTTGAAAGGATTATTGCAACACCTGCTTTTATTACAGGTTATAACATGAATTAAAATATTTCAAATAATCGTATGTCTTTCTAGATTCTCCACCAATACAACTTATTCGTGTACTTTGTCGCCAATTTGATGAATCAATTCACCATTTATATTGCAATACAGTGAGTGCTTTGCTGTAGCTTTGAAAGATGCATCTTTTTTAGGTTTCACAGACAGACAGATGAAATGTTCGTATTGAACTAACGAAACAAAATTTTTTATAAATAGTTGCGCGTCTTTTTCAGGAAGAAATAGTTTAGACAAATAGTTTCCAAAAATAGCTTGTATTTGTGTGATCTATCAATATTACAAACGTTTTTATTCTTTGAATCTTACAGGAAAAACACTTTTAATAGTTATGTAGAATGATATGATAGTCTCAGCATATTTTCACACGAGTTGACCAGAATAACCAATATATTGTGGCTATATAGCACACAAGCATTTTTTTGGTTTGCTAATCGTGAACATTTTTTTTCTAGTCACCATCAAGTCCATATCCATCAATGGTGTTTACTGATAATACAATCACTATATATACAGATTTTCTTTCAATCGTTTCAACAACATCACCTGATGATGGTTTAGCACTTATACTAGCAATGTATGTCGTGTTCGAACTAAATTTTCCTAAAAATGGTCGAGCAATACGATTTTTATATGCAATCATGTTTGGTGATACAAGATATTTGTCGAATAAAATGCGTACTCTAATCAAGGAAAAAAATATTGAAATCTATACTGAACAAAATCGAAAAATCTCTGAAAGTACAAATTTGATTTCAAATAGTCACTCAGCTATTAGTAATGATACCCACTCTTCATCACAAGCTAGTTCTAATTTATCATCTACTCCACTTGAAGATGTTTATCCATTACATACTAATAATTTAAACATCAATACTACTATTACATCTACAGAGTCAGTATTCTATTTGTACATGAATTTAAAAACGTTATTATTCTTCTGTGCATAGGCCCGACGATATGATTCGAAAATCTTCATCAAATGTTGATTGTCAAAAACAATCTGAACATTTTTCAAAAAAAGTCGTAAAGAAAAAAACATTAACATGTAATAGTGATGATGATTCACAAGATGGTATTAATTCTTTAGACGAAAATTTACATGTTGGTACTCGTCAGAAGACTAAACGAAAACGTCGTTACTAATCTATACACATTGTGAATAACAGTCAATATTGTTTTTGTACTATTTAGCATTTTTAATACTACTTTTTTATAAGAAAACTTGAAACGTTATTAAGATGAACATAATGAATGAAATATTGTACATATATGATGTCTTTCTATGATATGAAAAAAATAAACATTGATGAAATATGAAACTCTATTCTTGATCGTCCAATTTTTTTTCTTCTAAATTATGAAAAAAACACGATTTCAAATTAGCTACTATACACAGACATGAATTAATTACGAGCGAGCTCTTGAATCATTATATTAACGACGACATCATTTTATAAAAATTTACTTTAACTCAATAGAGACATTCATATTTTTTTTAGAATTTCTCTGTTCTTAGCATTTTTTATAATATAAAATCAATTTTGTTGTATCATCTATATTTCAAGAACTTAAAGATTGTCATCAAAATAAATTAAAATAATTCCAGCTACAAAAAGAATGCGTCTTCAACCTATCAACTTGTACTCGAATAGAATCTTTTAAGGTATTTTCACTATGAATCAAATCAACACAATCATAGATCTTTCTATTTTCACCAATCAGAAAGATAGATGCCGCCCTATATTCGTGCCTCTGATTAAATCGGCTCTCGTATTGACTTATAAATCACTACCAACAGCCTCATAAACACATTGCCCTCTTATTATCGTAACACTGAAGTTGACCGAAAACCTAATGCGATTCCAAACAAAACTAACAATATCTCTGCAAATGGAAAGATATTTTCTCTCGTTCATTCTTCTCAACAGCCAGAACGCAATTAAATGTTCCTTCTATACATTGTTTTGCTATTAATTTCCATTTCTCCATAATTCGTCACTTGAAACAGTAGTACCGTAATTTCAACATCATTATTATTTTTTCTGTAGA